CAAACAAACAAAAAGAAAACTAGACAGAAACTCGACAAGTGCCCCAACCCAATACAAACAAAACTAAACTAAACTAACTGAAAACTGAATAATATTAATTTGATCATGTTCTTGGAAAAGAAAACTATGTGTCATAAATATAAATTCTCCCTAAGTTGAATGACAAACTAGGAAGTAATTTAGATGTAAAAGCTACATCGGGTCGTTTTATTTTTTGTTGTTTGTGGTGAGTGAGCCTGAATAATTTTTTATAAAGTTATTTGGAAGAACAAAAGAGTGAGAATAGCTAAGTAAACACTGAAAATAGAGAAATACAAAATGGTACAATTTTATGAAGGGTGCTGGATTTATACAAGGTGGATTTCTCTGAAAGTAATTTTTTTAATTTTTTAACTTTGTATTTATTTATTTGAAACAGGGTCTCACTCTGTTGCTCAGGTTGGAGTGCAGCTTGGCACCATTATAGTTCATTGTAACCTTGAGCTCCTGGGCTCAGAGAGCCTCCCGCCTGAGCACCGTGTGTAGCTAGGACTACAGGCATGTGCCGCCATGACTGACTAATGTTTTTATCTCTATTGTTTGTAGAGATGGGAGTCTTCATTTGTTGCCCAGGCAGGTCTTGAACTCCTGGTTTCAAGTGATCATCCTGCCTCGGCCTTCCAAAGTGCTGGGATTAATGGTATGAGCTGCCACACTTGGCCCTTTATTATATAAGTTTGACTGAAAATATGTAAATGTTTTACATTACTATAAAATAAATTAAACAAAAATGAAAAAAATCCATAAAAAATGAAGAAAATGAATCCAACTAGGTATTGCTAGTGTCTTCACTATAGAGGAATCACTTAAAGTGATTTTAAAACATTTAGTGGTGCATGCTCAATGGAATATATCTTAAGGATTTTTAAACCTGCAAAACATTTTAATCTGTTTTAACTAACTATCTTATTATAATATTATTTCTATAGTGATTCTGAAACTACTATATATTCATAGTGGGATAGAGCAGCTATGTAATTTCTTACTATCCCTGGCAACAAAGGTTTTTCAATATATGAGAAAAGATTTACAAATATGACATCACAAAATTAAGTTATATGAATGAACATCATAACCCCAAGGCTCAAATTGTGAATCTGATTCACGTAAGATATGTCTTACCTCAAGCTTTAATAAATATTAGCTAAAGGTGCAAGACATAAATATTAGTATGTGTTGCTTAAATATCTGGGAGCTGAAAATCTGCACATTTTTGCCTCAGAAAGACATTTATGAACAGAGTGTGGAAAAATGTCTGCAGAGAAGTCACTATATTTTGTAGTCTTTCAGTTTTAATATCTCTAGTTTCCAAAAAGGAAATAAAAACTGAGCATAGGAAGTAAAGACTTGAAAATATGGGAATCTGTAAAAATTGACATGAAAGAAGCAATAAATTTTTTACACATAGCAGGTGTGTAACTCTAAGATGAATCAGTGATGGATGATACTTGCGGAAGGAGTCAAGAGATAAGTAACATTTTCATGGGTGAAGTTATTAAAGGAGAAATATTTAGAAAGCAATAGAACAGAACAGACAGTCTCTATAACTGTGGTTATTTGTGTCTTTAATTTGTGCTCATCCCTTTTGCCATATCACATTCAGGTGGCATGATGGAATTGCGCTATGTATGGAGGGTATGCTTGAAGTAGTAAATTAAATTGTTGATTGCAGGTGCATAAACTTTATTTTGAGGCAACCTGGTGAAGAGCATATTTTAAAGTTTTAGAGAAGTTGAATTAAAAATTAGTATTAAAGG